GTGTGTGTGTGTGTGTTTGGGGTGGGAGGAGGTTGTACCCTCTGGGCAATGGAGACCTGCCAGCGGAGGTGTCGCTGGGTCTTCCAGTCCCTGAGCTGGGCGCTGTGCTCCCCCTGCAGGCTGTGTCCAGTTCCTGCAATATTATTATCAGAGGGGCTGCCTCTACCGACTGAGGGCCCTGGGGGAGAGGAATCACCTGGACCTCACGGTGGGTGAGTAGCCTAGCCTGGGGGGTGGAGGGGCAAGCACCGGCCCTCCCTGCTCCCCCAGACCTCGCCCTGCACTCCTCACTGGGACCAGCTGCCAGTAAGAACCTGACAAGACCTGCCACACGCAAAGCCAGTCTGCCAACCTCACCCCAGTTGCTTTTCTTTTTTTTTCTTTGGTTTGACATATATACACTAATACAGTTGCTTTTCATAATTCGTCGTGGGATTCCATTTCAGTTGACAAGTGCGATACCAGCTGTGGGCCAGGCCCTGGATGCTGGCCTCTAGCTTCTTTTTAAATGGATCTTTTTGTCTGTGTTTTATGATGTACATAATCTTAGTCTAGTGTTTTTACACTTATGCAATTTATGTGTGCTTAACTTTCACTCAGCAAGGTGGGTGCCCCATTAGGAAAAATCGGAGACTCCTCATCTAAACTTTCAGGGGAAAGTGTGGTTAATAAAAATCTTCTATCTTTTAAGATGGTCATTTCTATCGAATTACTCTGCACAGTAGGCTCTATTTCATCAAGACTCGATTGAAGTGATGCATGCAAAAGCCAATTATAAAATGCAAAATCCCGTGCAAATTAAAGAAATTATTAGAAAGCTAGTGCCGGCACATCAGTGTTCTGTAAGAGTTGTCAGCCCACTTGGTTCATGGTGACTTGAGGCGTGAGGGCAGTCAGGCCTGGTGGCAGGTGTTCTGCATGTTTTTTCCTGGGTTACTTTCCTAGTGAGCGCTCACCCACCTGGAGGAGGTGAGGGCTGTGCCCCTCCCCCATCGGTGCGTTTGAACCTGGCTAATCTCAGTGACTGGCATGCCTGGGCCACCTCACACGGGCCCTTCGCTCCCTCTTTCCTCTCCGCAGAAGGATTTCAGTCCTGGATGTGGCGAGGCCTCACCTTCCTTCTGCCCTTCCTGTTCTGTGGCCACGTGAGTCCCCCTGGAGTTTGTGGATATCCCCTACACTGGGCAGACCTCCCGGGAACAGAAGGTCTTCAGGGCTCTCCCTCTCTCACCCGCCATCCCCGAGCTGGGCCCCACAGGGTCCTGGGGCTGGGACGGCCCCAGTGTCCAGGGATGCCAAAGGCAAGAGCCGGAATCGGCCCTCGGCACCAGCACACCCAACCCCAGGCGGGGTGCCCCAGTTTCATCTTGGGGGGTTGTCAAGGGCAGTTGACAGCAGAAGCTGGGGGTCTTGGCGCTCTCCCTGGGCTTTCCCACGTGGGTCTCCAGGGGACTCCGGTGGGCTGAGCAGTGCCTGTCTCCCCTCTCTTCAGTTCTGGCAGCTCTACAATGCCATCACGTTATTTGAGCTCTCCAGCCACGAGGAATGCAGAGAATGGCAGGTATGGTGTTTGTGTGTGTGTGTGTGTGTGTTTTTTGGTGTGTGTGTGGAGCGTGTGTGCGCATTGGTTGGGGGTTTCCTGGGGAAGGTTGGGGCCGCTTGGGGAGAATTCCTTCCTCAGCTCCCCCTGCCCCCCTGCCTGCCCTGTAGGGCCCTGTAGTCCAGAGCTCGCTGCAACTGGGGCCTGGGAGACCGTGGGAGGGAACTCGGGAGACCAGGGAGCCCCTCAGTGGTCTGAGAAACCCAAGGAGGTTCGCGCTAGGAGGGGGGCCGCGGGAGGAGCCCCCCAGGACTCTGCCTGACCCCGTAGGACTCACACCCTTCACCCAGTTAGCCCAGATCTCTGCCTTCTGCTGGCAAACGCTGCAGTTCGCAGGTAGCTTGTGCCAAGGGGGTTCTGAGCTCCCGGGAGGCGCGGGGGGGCATTTCAGCAAGGAGAGCTGACCCAAGCCGGCGCGGCCTTTGCCTTCTTTCTCTTGTGCTCTCTGCCTCGCCTTCCCCGCCCTGGGCACCCCCTTCTCTGCATGCCGCCCGCCCAGGTGTTCGTGTTGGCGCTTACGTTCCTTGTCCTCTTCCTCGGCAACTTCCTGACCACACTCAAAGTCGTGCACACCAAACTCCAGAAGAACAGAAGCGAGGCCAAGAAGCCGTGAGCCACGGGGCCGGCGCCCCTCGACCCCCGGACTTTGAGACTGCAGGGGATCCCAGGCGACACCCTCGCTGCCGGGTTCCTCCCAACCAGTGCCAGTGGTCACTGGCAGCAGTGACCTCAGGGGCCAGCGGCATCGCTGGGAGCAGAGCCGAGGCCCTGGTCCCCGGCCGGACAAGAGGAATGTGACCCCAACCTGTCCGTGCAGTATTAGCCCGCCCCAGCCTCCCTATTTATGACATATTTAATATCGGCCCACCCCCTTCCCTAGAATCTGCCGCCCTCCTCCCCCGCTTCTCTCCGCGAGACTGCGTCAGTCTTCCTGGGGGGCTGGGGGAGGCTTAGCCTCAGGGTCCCCCTCTGTCCCCCATCCTGTCGTTCGAGCCCCTCAGGTTGGGCTTCGGACGTGCCTCGCTGGGGTTGGGTTTCTGCTGACCTGCTACTTACTGAGTCCCAGGCGCGTGGAAGGAAGCCCTTCCGTGTCCCAGGGAGCCTCCCTCCCCGGGGCACCGCTTCTGCTGTAAGCTCCCGGCCTCCGCGCGTCTGCCGCGCGGGTGTTCAGGTTCTCGGAGAACCGCTGTCCGTCTCTTTGTGCCTTGTGCTCTTTGTGCTTCCTGAGTCTGCAGCCTGCTGGCCGCCAGGTGGCCCTGCCTCCCACAGGCCCAGGGCTTGGCCTGAGGCGGGAGGGTTTTCTGAGGGTCACCACCAGAGGGCCCCGCATCGTCTACCCGCCAACTCCCCCACCTCTGCAGGAGACCCTCCAACACTAGCTGGTAGTTCTGGTTCAGTCTTCTATGGGCTCACTTCTTCTGCCTGGGTCTTGATGTCCACACTACTTTGCATGTGCCCTCCAGGAGTGGAATCTCCGTTTCCCCCAGTCCAGTTGAAGTCCTGCAATCAAATCCCAACACCCTTCAAAGTCTTATTCTCTGGGAATTCCTCTTCCCATTGCTGGACCCCCAGGTTGGGAGACCTGATGTGGGGCTCAGAACCTTCACTCCAGTGGGTGGACTTCTGTGGTGTAATTGTTCTCCGGTTTGTGAGTCACCCACCCAGCAGTTATTGGATTTGATTTTATTGTGATTGCGCCCCTTCTACCATCTCATTGTGGCTTTTCCTTTTTCTTTTGGTGTGGGGGGTTTTTTTTTTTTTTTTTTTTCTTTCAAAGTTTGGGTCCACTTTTGGGGGCTTCATAACTCCCACCCCTCAGCCCACCTTCCCAGATTCTCTCCGTGAGCACTCAGGGCGTGGGGTCAGGCCCCTTGGCGCTGGTTGGGACGTAAGCCAGCGTGGAGGTCACCCACGCTCAGGCTTCCTCCCTTCACCTCAGAGGTTCTGGAATGTGGGGGGCGCCTGAGCACGCTCACTTCGAGGCGGCGGCCACACTCTAGAGGCCAGGGCAGGTCTGCTGGTCACCTCACGTTAGCTTCTGTGTCTGTGGGGAACAGGTTTGGCTGCATTTGCTGCGTCTTCTCCTCATATGGGCCTCAGCCGTCCTTAACGACTTACTTAGAAATCCCTGTCGACCAGAGTACATAGATGGTGTCCCTAATCATGCTCTGGGCGTCAAAGGGGTTTAAACTTTTAAAAGTATGAAATTTCCCCTCCCCTCCGCCCAGTAAGATTCCACATAAAAATCCAGATTTCCACTTTCCCTAGAGAAATGGAAAGATCTAGAAGCGTTCCCACAGAGCAGCATCTGGCTGGGCTGAGCTGCCTTGTCTAGGGTGGGGTGCTTGCTTTCTAATTTGCCACAGGCCCCACCACTCCCTTTCATCCCTGCCCTCCTTCACTCATTTGGGTCTCCCATCTGGCCCTTTAGGCATTTGGGTTTGCCCTAGACTAGGAGTTGGCGAACTTTTTCTGTGAAGAGCCAGGTGGCAAATATTTTAGGCTTTGAAGGCCAGATGGTCTCTCACTCTAGTCTGCAACTGGAGGGCAAAAGCAGCCAATGCGTAAACGAATGGGCGTGGCTGTTTTTCACTAAAACTTTATTTACAAAAATAAAGATTTGGCCCACGGAGCCTTGGACCGAATGCTCTCTTGATTCCCCAGGGCGTGGCAGGGCCTTGGGGAACCTAGGTGGGGTGGGGTGGACTTCAGAAGTCTCTTTCTCAGGCCTAGTGGGGGCTGAAGCACTGGGCAAGGGAGGGGGCTGAGGCAGGAGATACCGGGGATGGCAGGACCACCTGAAGCCATTATCTCATCTTAGGTAATGCTGATCCCTGGGCTTACTCAGGAGCCACCAGCTCTCAATCTCTGGGGCATCAGAATCGCCTGGGGCACTTGTTTCAAAACTCTTGGGCCACCCCCCACCCCGACCCCAGACCTTCTAGGAGGTTCAGTGAATCTGCACTGGGGGTTAATCAAGTCTGTTCTCGCAGGAGGCCAGGATGGCCTTGGTTCCAGATCTCCACATCTTGGCAAAATTGGAGGCTGTGAGAGACGGGAGCTCGATGACTATTTAAATGAGCCAGTGCTGTCCTTCTGCAGACAGTCTGTAGAGAGACCTGACTTGCCCAGGATCACTCGGAGCTGATGTCACTTTTCATCTCGGGTTTCTGGCAAGTAGTGGTGAGCGGAGGGGTTGCAGGTGAGGAGACGCTGAGCGAGGGTCACATGGATCGGCCAGAGAATACTTTTTGCCTTTTGAGAGAGGTTCTTCTCTGCCTCATGTGCGTCCAGCTCTGGAAAGATGGCGGCCAAGCCGAGGGCTGAGACTTAAGTCCTCTGTTTGGAAGGGAGGAGGGAGGGGGCTGGTGCCAGCCCCCCACGTTTGGGGCTGGGGCCTGTGTTCTTGTGATAGGCCTCGGTCCCATCCTGGTGCCTGAGTTCCTGCGGGGAGGAAGCAAGAAGCTGGAGGATGCAGCCGTGCCTATCTCAGGAAACCAGAGAGGCGGGTGACTGGGGAGAGCAGGCTTGGGGGCCGTGTGGAACGCTGCCAAGTCCACATTTATCCTCATACCAGACGTCATTTCTCATCTCAAGCACAAGCTTTGAGGACCTATTGGGTGTGCAGAGGGGGACACACAGCTGGGGGTTGGTAGTGATGAGGGCACTCCTGAGTCCTGGGGGCAAATGCTAGTTCCAGGGTACAGAGGGACTGAGTCCAGCACCCTCGCTCACCACCACCACGCAGGCTGGAGGGGAGCTTGTGGTCAGAGCCCCAGCTGGGAAAGGAGAGAGTTCCAGAATGTTCCAAGAGCCTGGCCACAGGCTCCAGACACCAGGCCCTGGAGACGCCCGACTCCAAGTGCCCTTCGAGAGCTGGGGAGGGGGCAGGATCTGGGGAGTAGTCTGGAGCGGGGGACCTGGGTCCTGTCAGTTCTATCGTGAGGGCCATGGGCCCCGCCGGGAGGTGTCAAAGCAGCAAGCACAGGCGGTGTTGTTTCTGCCGCTGTGCTTTCTTCAGAGCACTGAGGGCAACTTTGGCGGCCTCTCGGAAGACGTCCTCCACGTTCTCCCGAAACTTGGCAGAACATTCCAGGTAGAGGGCAGCTTGGATCTGCTCGCAGGCGCTCTGGCCCTGGTGGGGGGAGGGGCCATGATTAGACGAGGGGCCTGGAGCATGCGGTCTCCTGTGAGACCCCTCACAGATTTGGGGGCTTGCTGGGGCGGAGGCCTCGGGGTGGGGACGCTTCACCGCAGGGCCAGCACTCCCCAGTGTGTGCGGGTGGACCATGAAGGCCAGTGTGGTGTGGCCTATGGGCTGTAGCTGCTGGGAGCTCTGTCCTGGCCTCCAGCCCACGCTTCCCCCAAACTCAGGCAGAGACGGGGGCTGACTTCAGCCGAGAACTGGGGTGGTGTGGTGTGTCTGCCAGGCCTGTGAGGAGAGTTGAAGGCCTCAAGACAAAAGGGCTTCCTACGTGCTTCTCTCCCCTGCTCTTGCCGAAAGCACAGTTTGGGCAACCGAGCTGGCTATTGGAGTAAAAACAGTATTTCTAACAAATTTATTAATGCCTGTCCCTTTTTATGAATTTTTTTTTTTTTTTTTTTTTTTTTTTTTTTTTTTTTTTTTTTTTTTTTTTTTTTTTTTTTTTTTTTTTTTTTTTTTTTTTTTTTTTTTTTTTTTTTTTTTTTTTTTTTTTTTTTTTTTTTTTTTTTTTTTTTTTGCTGTCCGCGGGCCTCTCACTGCTGTGGCCTCTCTCCCATTGCGGAGCACAGGCTCCGGACGCACAGGCTCAGCAGCCATGGCTCACGGACCCAGCTGCTCCGCGGCATGTGGGATCTTCCCGGACCGGGGCAAGAACCCGTGTCCCCTGCATCGGCAGGCGGACTCTCAACCACTGTGCCACCAGGGAAGCCCAATGCCTGTCCCTTTTTATTAAACTTCATTAGTTCTCCTTTGTGTTCCTTTTATTCTGCCATGCCTTACCCAGAAGGCCGCAGGATTTGGTCAGGCTCACGAAAGGAACCCTGCTTTCCAACACGGGCCTGCCCTTCCAGGCCTCTGGGAAGATGGGACAGGGTGGTGGTTAAGGGCTCAGGCTCTGGGGCCAGAGTGACTGGGATGGGATCTTGGCTCCACTTCAGGTTAGCTGTGTGACCCTGGGCAAGCTACTTAACCTCTCTGAGTCTCCATCTCTCCTCTGTAATATGGGGGGCGCTAATAGTACCTGCCTCAAGGTTATAAGGATTAAATGAGGTAAGTAATGTAAAGTGCTCAGGCAAGTGGCCTATCATTATTAATATCTAAGAATTATTATTCTTAACCCCGGCAGTCCAGTGGTTAGGACTCGGTGATTTCACTGCCGTGGCCCTGGGTTCAGTCCCTGGTCAGGGAACTAAGATTCTGCAAGCTGCTCGGGGCGGCAAAAAAAGGAAAATCATTATTTTTAGAATCCTGCTGGCTTCAGCTCCCGAAAGGCCGCTAAGGCACACCAAATGCAGAGGCCAAAGACCTGGGAGGCTTTCTGGCCATGGCTGTGTCCTGGGCTCCTGGCGATGGGGTGCAGTGGAGCGGGGCGGGGGAGGGGGCCCTGGCCCACCTGCGTGTAGGTGATGGGCTCCAGCTGGGCCGCCCGGAGCTTGCGCAGCTGCTCCTTGTCTTTCCTCAGGTCTGTCTTGCAGCCAATGAGCACCATAGGGATCCCACGGCAGAAGTGGGTGACCTCCGGGAACCACTGTGGAAGGAGAGGGCAGGCATCAGGGCTGGGGCCCCGTCCGTAGCCCCTCCTCCAGAGGCAGGCGGGCTGGGAGAGGGGCCTTACCTTGATGAGAACGTTGTCATAGCTGGTGGGGTTCATGACGTCATAGCAGATGAGCACGAGCTGGGTGTTCTGGTAGGACAGGGGCCGCAGCCGGTCATAATCTTCCTGCCCTGAAACCAGACAGCAGGTGGAGGTCAGGGAGGTACCACTTACTTCTCTACCTGAGTCCCCTGTCTGGGCTCCGATGCGTGAGGGGTTGGGGGTCTCCTGGGCAAGAGACTCTAGGCCTCGGTTTCCTCGTCTGTAAAACAGAGGTGGCAGCCCGCAGTCCTACACGAGATAAAAGCCATGCAGGGACTTCCCTGGTGACACACTGGATAAGACTCCATGCTCCCAATGCAGGGGGCCCAGGTTCGATCCCTAGTCAGGGAACTAGATCCCACACGTATGCCGCAACTAAGAGTTCACGTGCCACAACAAAGGAGCCCACGTTCTGCAACTGAGCCTGCCTGCTGCAACTAAGACCCATCGCAACCAAATAAATAAATATTTTTTTAAAAAATAGCCATGCAGGGCTTCCCTGGTGGCGCAGTGGTTGAGAGTCCGCCTGCCGATGCAGGAGACGCGGGTTTGTGCCCCGGTCCGCGAAGATCTCACATGCCGCGGAGCGTTTGGGCCCGTGAGCCATGGCCGCTGAGCCTGCACTTCCGGAGCCTGTGCTCCGCAGCTGGAGAGGCCATAATA